GCCTCGAGCTCTCCCAGATGGTGCCGTTTGCCACAGCTGTGTAGGTGTGACTGCCCCCCTCCTACCCCCAGCTCTGGGACGGGTGGCCTGTGCAGCCCGGGGGAGCAGTGGCCTTTGGGGGAGCCCGGCTGCACTGGGGTTCCGTGCAGTGCCGGGTCTCTGCCCCTGGGCTGCAGGGGTCTCGCTCGCTACCTTAGTGCCCATTGTCCCCAGGGGCCTGGGCCCTGTTCCCGGGCGTGGGTGGCACTGCCTGTGCACTGGGGCTCTGCCCAGCTGGGAGCTCTCCCGTTCTGATTTCAGCAGGGTACGGAGCCAGACAGCATTGGCCATGGGGCTGGGCACCGCGCCTGGCCTTCGTGCAGTGTGTCCTGCATTGGGGCTGCCAGCCGGGAGCCCGTGTCCCTTGGGAGGGGAATTCCCGAGTGGGCTCGGCTGAGGCTCAATCTCACGTCTGGCTCTGGGCCCGAGCTGCTGGGGGCTCCGGCTCGTGGCATGGCGCGGCGCCTGCTGGGCTAGTGAGCCGGCCGGGTGCGTTTGCTCGTGGGCACCCGCTGACCCTGCTTCTCTTTTGTTTCCCGTCTCCCTTGGAGCAGAGAAAGCGCCGGGAGTCGGCCTCCAGCTCCTCCTCCATCAAGAAGGTGAAGAAGCCGTGAGCCCGTCGGCTCAGCACCAGGCCGCGGCAACAGACTGACTGTGGGAGCCGGGCAGGGGAAGGAATCCAGCCGGGGCCGTTCCCTTCCCAGCACTGCCCCCCCATCTCCCCCCAGCTGCCAGCAAGCCTTGCGGGGTGACGCTGCGGGGCCGCAGGGAAGCTGGGCGGGCGGCTGGAGCCGTGCGAGTGGCCACGGCACGGACTGACGTGCTGGATTTGTGTGTTCCTGTAAATACAGCCCTGTCCCCCTCCCCCGAGTCTGTCGTCATTAGCCTGGGCCATGGCATCACTCGAGCCGTGACTCCCAGAGCCCTGTTGAGCTGTGGCAGGGAGGGGCAGTTCCTCCTGCCTTGCCCCCTCGCCCTGGAGTCCCGGCTTCCTGCCCCCTTGGAGCCGGCCTCCCACTGAGGTGCCAGCCAGCTGTGGCCTCCCGGGCAGGCTGGGGGGCAGCCTTGGCTCCTGGCATGGCTGAGGGGGGAGGTGGGTGGCTGCTTCCCCAGGAGCTGGAGGCCCAGGGCTGCTCTTTAGCCACCCCCGGGCCAGGGTAGGAGCCAGGCCCCGAGCCCGGCTTGCAAGGTGCTGACGGTGCCAGGCTGTGCCCGAGCCACCTGCTGCGGGGCGCATGGGCCGTGCTTTGCTGGACGGTCTCTGGCCCCTTGCTGGACAGTCTCTGGCCCCGCCGGCGCCATTCCGCACCTGGGCTGTTCTGCACGCTGCCATCACACGGGTGTAGAGCCCGGTGCGTCACCCGCTGACCCCACTGCTGCCCCGCAGGCCAGCCCCCTGTGCACCCTGACGGGGGGGTGTCCTGGGTCTTTAACTGCACCGCTCGGGGCCTCGAGCGCAAGCCTCTGGCTGCCCCTTCCCCCCGCTCCCCCCGCTCCTCCCAGGCCAGGCGCAGAGCTGAGGGCTGCCCTGGCCCTGACCACGGGGAGCCCCTGTGACCTGCTCCCAAGCCAGGCTGGGCCCTGGGGCGGGGGGCTGACTCCTAGAGGCCCTGCTTCAAAGTCCCCACAGCCTTGGGGCTGGGTCCTGGTCTGGGGCTCGCTTCCTCTGGCAAAATGGCATCTCTCATTCCCGCCTCACCGGGGAGCCCCCTGCGTTTGCCTGGCTGGGTAGAGCCCCGCACCCAGAGCTCTTGTGTCCACCCCCCACCCCCCGGCCAGGGGAGGGAGCCAGGGCAGAGCGAGGGGCAGGCGATGTGGGCTGGGGGGCTGCGGGGTCAGGGGCTGCTTTGCCCTACACACGGTGGGGGCCTGGTGCTGGGGCGGCTCCTCCCGTGGGCCAATGCACACCCCCACTGGCTGGTGGAGCCGAGCCCCAGAGCTCCTCACCCGGCTGGGCTCAGGCCTTGGCCCGGGACGAAGGGGGCACCGGGGGAGGGAGTAGTGGGATCTTGCCCGGCCAGTGTCATTGTCTCCACAGCCCAGCCAGCTGCTGGCCCCTGGGCACGGTAACCTCCCCCGCGCTGTGTGCAGGTGGCTGGGCCCGGGGCCGGGCGTGGGGCCGTAGCTAGCCCAGCAGCGCGGCCCGGGCCGGGCGTGGGGCCGTAGCTAGCCCAGCAGCACTGCCCGGGGCCCTGCCCGCCCAGCTGGGGGGTCTTGGGCACTGCAGAGGAGGGGACAAGTCCACGGCCTCCAAGCACTCGTCTCGGCTGCCCTTCCTCCTGGCCCAGGGAGCGCTCACCCTGCCCCCCCACATCCCCCTTCCTCCCTGGAGGGCCCAGGCTGCGCGGGGAGACCGGTCCCTGCCCCCCCGAGCTTCCCCCCCACCCACATGTGCAGGGGCAGGTGCTGGCTGGGCAGCCCCCATGCAGGTGGGACGATCACTGGGACGATCACTGCAGGAATGAAGGGAAAAGGCCAAGTGCCGAGTTTTCATAGCAAACTCATTAGCCGCCATCAACCCCAGGTCGCTAAACCAGCTCAGGTGCTTACGCAGAGCCATTAACCCCCCCCCCCTTGGAGCTGGCCCCCAGCCTAGGCACTGTCCTTCTCCAGGGGTGGCTCTGGCACCTGGGCGCGTGGGCCCCTCTGCTCCCTGGGGCCAGGCCAGTGCCCAGGGCACCTGCTCCCTGGCCCCAGAGTAGCGGGTACCATGGGGGTTAGTGCTGGCCTTGCCCCACTCGGCAACCCCCATGGGCTGGCAGCCAGGAGCCCCTTTGCCCCCTGCCGGGCGTCGGTGATGCCCATGGGCCCGCCTGTGTTCGTAGCGAGCGGGGGAGGCTCCTTGCACCCTGTGACTGGCTGGGCGTGGGGCCAGTGGGGCCCAGCAGCAGCAGTGTGGGGGGGGGGCACAGCTCCCCAGGTGCCTGTGCCATGCGCTGCCATCCCAGTGTCTGGGCCAGAGCAGGGCAGTGCCAGTAGCATGGGGGGGGGGCATGAGGCCCATGTGCCAGGCTGGCCGTGGCATGCCTGCTGCAGCTGGCAAACGGGGCCTATGCAGTGTCTTTCACAGTAGTGCTTGTAGGGCCCTGGGTGCTCCCCGGGCATCTCCAGCCAGCCATGCCCAGCCGCTCCTGCCAGGGCCTGGGCACGCGCTGCATCCTGGCCAGCCAAGCCCTTTGCCAGAGTCCTGTCGGGTTTTGCCAGCGCGGCCGGGCCGCTGTGGTGGATGGGGGCGACGCTGCCCCTGAGCTGCGCCCACAGCCCCCATTTGCCCTGTTTGCTACGTGCCCAGTGGAGACGCCTGTGCCAGCCCAAGGGCTGTCACTGTGGGCAGCATGCAGCCGGCAGTGCCGGGGTTCTGGGCGAGCAGGCCAGCGCCCAGCTTGGCGCCCGGGTGGGCTTCGCAGGGCGGGCAGCCCCTGGGTGGGACGTGGCACGTGGCCGCTCAGTGCAGAATGTGGTGCTCACGTGGGGGCTTGGCATGGCCCCAGTGCACTGTGTGGCCTCACCTGGGCCACTCGCCTGCCAGGCTGGGGCTGTCCAGTGACCGTGCGGCCTCGGTGAGCTCCAGCGAGGGGCAGCTGCTGCTCCAAGCCCAGTTCCCCGGCTGGGTGGTGCTGCCCCTGGGCATGATCACCTGACACCCCCTGGCCCCCTGGTGCTTTGGGGCAGGGGGGGGGTCAGGCCAGGGGAGATACCAGCTGCAGGGCCTGAGTCCAGGCCTAGGGGGCATCAGCTCAACACTTCTGGCCCCTCCCCAAGGTTCCCCATCCTGGGGTGCTGCAGCCCGGCTGCCCCCCCAGCCTTGGGCTCCCCCTTCTTGTGCTGCCTCCAGACAGGCACCCCCTGATTACTGCCCCTCCCCAGGGCGTGGCCAGGCCCAGTGGGTGGCACTAGCTGAATTAAGGGCTGTGGTGGGTGGGGGGCAGCTCTCAGTAAGGGCTGAATCCACCATCATGTCCAGCCGGCCCGGGCACCGTAATTCCAGCCGTCCCAGGTACCGTTCGATGGGCATGGTGCTAATGGCCTGGCACGGTGCCTGCAGGGACGCTGGGCTCAGGGTTGTGCTGGGCTGGCCAGGAGGGTGGTGCGTGGCAGGCTGGGAAATGCACCAGCGCCATCCCACGGCGACATGGCAGCCTGGTGCCAAGTCGCTTCCCTCGCACGTGGCCTCATCACTGCTCTGCGAGCTGCTTAGTGGGAGAGGACGCCCCTCGGAGCAGCAGGTGCACCCTGCCCATCCCCACGGCGTCTGGGCTGGCTCTGTGCGCTCACCAAGCTGGCGCCAGGGCTGTAACTTGGCGACCCTCAGGCCTGCGGGCAGCCAGGGCATGGCGAGGGGGCTGGGGCCCAGGGCCTGGTGAGCAGCAGCGGGGCAGGGGGCACACTCTGGCTGCGTGTTGTCTCATCTGCAGGGCTGTCCCGCATGGGGCCGGATGAGGGGCACCAGGCCTCCAGGGTGCCCCAGAGAACCGGCCTCGCCCTGTTCATTCCCTGCCCGTGGGGAGTGGGGGCTGACAGCACCTCCCTGGGGCCGGGTGGAGCAGGGACCCCTCTGCTGGGATCTGTCCCCATCCCCGTCCTCCTCCCACAACCGAGCACGGGGTGCCGGCGGCCCAGGCCCCAATGCAGCAGCTGCCCCCTCTTAACCCCAAGAACCAGATCCCCTGCCCCACTCCTCCTGGGGAGAACAAGCTCTCCGCAGCACAGCCCTGCTGGGAGGGCGCATCCCAGGGCCTCCCTCCAGAGCAACCCACTGCCCCAGGCCAAACAGCCCCATCCCCTGCATGCACCCTCTCCTGCCCTGCCCCACAGCCCCTGCATGCCTCCCCTCCCCCGCCTGCACGCATAGGCACACATGCACACAAACACACGTAGGCGCACATACACACGCACTCATGCACGTGCACGCACACACACTCGCACGCACACACACTCGCACGCACACACACACGTAGGCGCCTTTTTCCCCAAACTTTATTCATGTGGCACATTTACAGCAAGGATGAGGATAACTAGACAATGAGGACGGTGGGTTTGCGTTATCGGCTGGTTGCGCTGCACACCACACACCATGCAGTTGGTTACCGCTACGTTCAGTGCCTGTATTTTCTTTCTGGTGACCGAGCCGGCTCAGCCCCCGGGCTGCGGGGCGGGAGGGAGCCCGGCCGCTGGCGGGTCACGGTGCCCGGCGCTGTAGCAGCACCATGGGCCAGCGCCAGGCGCGGCCTCGGCCTCGGCCTGGGCTCAGCAGGGATCTGGAGTCCTGGCTGATCTGCAGGAGCTCCATGGCCCTGGGGCTCCAGGGGATGGGGCCTGCCCCCAAGCCCACCTGAAGGACGGGGCCCAAGAGCCCCCTAGTCGGAGGGGACGAGGCAACCAGGCAGCTGCTGCTGCGCTCGGCCGGGAGCCTACGAGGGGCAGCGCCCGGACCGCGGGGAATGGGGCAGGCGAGGGCAGAGCTGCAGCTCAGGTGGGTGGGCAGGGGAGGGGGCTCACTCAGCGGTGGGACTGGGGGGGGGGGCAGAAAAGGACCGTCGTTCTGTGCCAGCACTCGCTGGTGCGTCCACCGCCAGCAATGGACCTGGTGCCCCCAGGAGCTGGAATCGCTTCGGCAGGGGTGAGTGGGGGGGGCCGGGCAGGAGCCCCCTGGGAGAGGCACAAGCTGCCCCCCACCCCGCTCCCAGAGCCCTGGCTGGCAAGCCGGCGGGCAGAGAATACAGGCACTTGAGCAGGAGCAGAAAGCCGGGTTGCTGACACACACAGGGGATCGGGGTTAGTGTTCACTGCAACGGGGAGGGGAGCGGGCAGGGCGGGGCGGGGCTCCCGCGGCCATGTCAGGCTGGAGCTCCCACGCAGCCCCGGCGGGTCACCCGGCAGCGCCCGGCAGGGCCTGGCCGAAGGGAAACAAACACCGAAAAGAAAGAGGGCGACCCATGGCCGGGGGGCACAAGGGGGTAACGGAAACCAGGGGCGAAGAAAGACGAAGGAACTACAGCTCTAACCAGGTGGTGCAAGTGCCCTGGGCGGCTCCGGGGGCAGGGCGGGCGATGGCCGGAGCAGCCCAGACAGGGGGATCCACGTCGGGTCTACACAGAGATTTTCCTTTCCATATATACAACCTCTACTGGCGTAACAGCGGAGCTGGGTGTGGCGTCGCCTCTGTCCTCGGTTGCCCTTTGAATGCTCTCGCCCGTCCTCCCGCAGCGGAGGAGCCGGCCGCATGCAGCCCTGTCCGGCCCGCCCCGCCGATCAGAAGGGTTTGGAGGTCTGCTTGAAGATAAAACCTCTATGGGCCAGCGTCTTCATGATGTTAGCGATGTTCTTACAGTCATCTGTGGAGAGAGCGGAGCGGGGTGAGGCCAAGGCAAGAATAACCCTGCGCCAGGGGACAGCAGAGCCCCTCCCAAAGGGCCCGAGCCAGCCCCCACGTGTTAGAAACGCAGCCCGAGGGCGTGCCTGGCTGCTGGGAGGCTCTGTGGAGTGATGGTGGGAACGCCGGTGGCTGGCCTGTGCAGACGCTCCGGGGCCCTCCTGCCCGTGTCGCCGGCCCGGCTGCCCCAGGGTGCAGGCCAGGGCGTGTGCTCATTGGCTGCCCCAGGGGGTAATGGCTAACAGGGCGCAGGGCCTGCCTGGGCAGCGCAAACGGCCCCCACTGCTGTCCAGCAGCTCCCAGGAGCTACCTGCCAGTGATCCCACCCCACAGAGCCGCAGGGGAGGTCGTTACGCTCCAGAGTAAACACCTCTAAAAAAAAGCCACCAATTAACCCTGCCCCACATTCAGTCCTATGATCACAACCCCCAGGCCCCAGCCCTACAGTAACGACCCCCCTGGGCCCAGCCCTATGATCACAACCCCCAGGCCCCAGCCCTACAGTAACAACCCCCCTGGGCCCGTGTGACGTTATGAGTGTGATATAATATCTCATTGAAAGGTGACAGGGCCAGAAAGAGTTAATTACCTACCAGACTGACCTGACCCAGGGCCCAACTTTAGAGACTGGTTAGGAAGATAGGGTAAATGAACAGAGCTTTGAAATGTAAGTCTGTATTGTCAGAGGAAGAAGGGGAGATGTTTGCTCAGGTCTTGTGATGTCAGCAAACAAGTCTTGTCTATTGCTATAGCTTTAATTCAAAGATCAAAAAATGAATATTAACAGTTATGATGATACTTGAGTGAAATAGTATTATTGTCTCTATGTCTCTTTGAAGGTTGTGGTAACCTGTATCTGAACTGTGTAATGGATAAATTACCCTGTGCTAATTGCCAGGGTGTTTGGAAGAAGGAGAATTAAGCCTATTGTTTTCTCAGGCCAAGCGGCTGCTGGAAATGTATAAAAACCCTGGGACACGATCCTGCTGCATCTCAGATCTGCTTTGGGTTTCACAAGGGGGAAACCTTAAGCCATAAGGATTGAGATCCCCAGTCATTGACTGGAGCCACCCTGAATATGGACATTGGACTATAACCTATGGACTATTTCTAAAAGGACTTTTGGTAACTACAGGATCACCTCTGCTATGCATCTGAACCTCAAGAATTGAATTCAAGTCTGTCTGTATATTGATCTTTTAACCAACACTCTCTCTCTCTTCTTTTTAAATAAATTGTAGCTTAGTTAATAAGAATTGGCTCTAAGCGTGTATTTTGGGTAAGATCTAAGTTATCATTGGACCTGGTGTGTGGCTGATCCTTTGGGATTGGAAGAACCTTTTCTTTTATATGATGAGATAAGATTTTCAGTAACCATCATCATATCTGACAGGTGTGTCTGGACGGAGGTCTGAGGCCGGGCACGTTAAGGGGACTGTGTTGTTTGGACTTCTGAGTAACCAGTGAGGCTCTACAGAAGCTGTTTTGGGCTGGTTGGTAAATCTAAGTATTGGAAGATCCCCCAGCGTTTGGGGTTTGTCTGCCCCGTTCTGTTTGCCGTTCACCCTGATTTAGTGACCTCAGCTGGCTCCCATGGGCAGCACCGTCACAGCCCAGCCCTACAGTAACAACCCCCCTGGGCCTGGCCCTACGATACAGACCACCTGGGCACAGCTTGGCAGTCCCAGCGACCCCACAATAACCCTGTGCCAGCTGCAGACTGGCAGGCTCTGCCATCTCGTCCCGTCTGGGAGCAGGTTCCTTCCCTGCCCACTCACCCAGGGTCGGATCAAGTCCGGGGGCTGATTCCCCAGCCTGCCCCGGCCTCCCCGGCATGACAGCTCCTGGGATCCCCCTGGGTGAATTCCATGGCAGCCTCTGTCCCACGGTGCCCCCAGCCCAAGGCCTGCACTGCCCCCAGGCCACCCCCGTCACACACTCACGGGCAGGGAGCAAGGCCCCCGGTACCGTCCCTAGGCCGAGCGGCGCAGCTCGGCTCTGCCAGCCCCCGACTCAGCCCCCGGGCCCGGGCCTCCTGCAGGACTCCAGGGGGTCTCCCTGGGGCAGTTCCTCCCTTTGTTCCCCCCCCGCCACAGCTGGCCCTGTCCCCTCTCTGAGTTAAGCAACAGAGAGTCCTGTGGCACCTATAAGACTAACAGACGTATTGGAGCATGAGCTTTCGTGGGTGAATTCCCACTTCGTCAGACGCATGAGTTCGTTTCCCTGTAACACTCCCCCCCGGGAGTGTGCCCTGCCCCGCTTGCCAGCGCTCGGCCCTCCTGCCTGCACAGGCCGTGACCCTGGCAGGAGGCCCCATCCGGAGCAGCTTCCGCTGGGCTCACATCCTGCCTCGTCCTGCTCAGCTGGGCCCGGGCAGGAAACCTGCATTCCAGTAGGGTGAGCAACTCGGCAGCCCGCCAGGCGACCCGCTGCTGCACACGCGCCCCCTGCACACGGGGCTGGCCAGTCCTGCAACCACCAGCAGGGGGCGCTGCGTGTAACGTGTCCCACGCCCCCTGCAGGCCAGTCCCGCAGCCGGCGCTCGGCGCACACAGCCAGCAGCAGGGGGCACAGATCCTCCAGGGTACGTGGGCCCCTAACGCCCACTGAACTCAGGGCTGGTTTGGCACCTGAACCCTCTGAGGATCTGGGCCTGGGTCCCCAGCAAGTGCCCCCAGAGGCAGCTCCTGCAGGGCCTGGCCAGACCCTCTCCTGCCAGCAGGGCTGCGGGAGGCAGGGCTCTGGGGAAAGAAGACGGCCAAGCCCTGGGACCGACGCGCCAGCAGGTGGAGACGGGCAGGGCCCTGTCCAGGGAAGCGGCAGCTGTGATGGGAGAGGAGGTGGTGGAGGCAGAGTGCAGCCCCCACATGCCCCCTCTGGGAGGGACGGCCGGTGACACCCACCCCGTGGGCGCTAGAGAGCAGCCGCCTACTGCACCTGTGGCCCCGTCCACGCCCAGGAGGCTGGTGTCTCATCCCACCCCCAACCCCGCGCCTTCACACTGCTCAGGGGCCGCGCCGTGAGCCCCTGGGCCCCCACGGCCCTCAATCATCTCCCAGGGGTTGGGGTAACCCCAGCCCTGCTGTGTAGGCCCCGATCGCTCCCCAGCGCCAACCCCTCCCGCGCTCCCCACCGCCGTTCTCCATGGGTCTCATGACCCTCCCTGGGCCCAGCGTTCACCCCCAGCGCGGGGCGCTCCATTTGCACGTGTGTAGCCTGGTGCAACCGTGCTGCCATCCTGCTCCCGCCTGAGACCTGCCAATTCCCCGGACTCTGCTCCCCTCCCTAACCCAGCGGCAGTGGCGGCCCCGGGGGGCCCAGCCGGTCCGGGAGCTGGACCCTGGTCACTGGCCAGGACGGCACCCTGCTCCCACAGCGCGCCTGGCCAGCTGTGACTGCCCGCTGCACAGGCCGGATTCCTGCACCCTGCCTCGGCCCCGATCCTTCGTCTTAGGGCTGGGGCTGTCTGGGCAGTGCCCACCCCCGCGGGGCCCTGATCTCAGTGGGGACCTCACGTGCTGCCGTAGGGCAAAGAACCAGCCCAAATGCTGGTGTCCCCAAGCTTAGCTCGCGTAGAGACCAAGAGTCAATTATCCAACCCAAGCATCCAATCCTCTGACCGGCTTGTGGCCAGGAGTTCCACATTCCCTGCAGGCCCTGGCTCTCGTGTCAACGGCCGGGGGAAGCAGGCAGGGCCGAAGCATCCCCCACAGAGCTCCTTGCCCCGGCCCGAGGAGGCGGTGTGCACTGAGCAGGGCCGGGCTGGCGGGGACGGTGCTGCCCTTTGCCGGCGGCGGGACTGGCACCGGAGAACTGTGGCGGCGTTGGAGCAGGGAGGCCGCGGGTGGCAAGGCGGGAGGAATGGCCCCTGCTTGTGTTATTTACCTGGGACTAAACGCAGGCATCGCTTGCTAAAATAGAAGCAGGGCTTAAATTGATTCCTGGTGTCTATATTTCATGTTGAAAATTGGCTTGTAAATCCATGTTTTGATCTATGGGGGCCGTCTCCTTAAGAAAAAGCAAGAGTAAATGTGTAATTTCTCCCTTGACAGCACACAGCAGAGAGGCGATCCTTCTTCCCGCTCCCCTCCGATTCGGGACAGCTCCACTCCCTCTGATTACCACTCTCTCTTCCTCGCCCCACGCCTTGATGTCTCCATTTCATTACCGCCCGGCCATTTATCAAGCTGTTACCGTAAGGGTGACTTTGCCCACTTGCGTGTGGCAGCGGGGCCCGGCTGCCGTGGGGAGAGCGTGCCACGCTGGCGGGGGGCGAGGGGGGCACAGCCCCCACCCCGGCCCCGCGGATGGATGTGCTGGGCGAGGGAAAGCCGCATCATTACTGATGTGTAAATGATAAAGAAGCCTCCACATTCATCTCGGGAGGGTAAATCCAGGGAGTGCTTTATAACCAGGCTGGAGCGATAATAATGTGAAATTAGGTCTCTCTATCAATGGGAGGAGGCCTTTTAATCACGGCTTAAAGGGTGCAAACGCTGTTTATCATAATTGAACTGTATCCGGGCTAATTGTGCCCATATTTCACTGTCGCGGAGACAGCAGCCGGGCTGGTGACAGAGTGCTGCGCCGGGATCCGGCAGAGCCCCTGCCCGCTGCTGCCAGGTGCCACCGGCAGCCACTTAGCAATGAGAAGAGGCTTTGATCTCCCCGCTAACCCTTCGGGTGCTGGAGCGGGGGAAGCGGGCAGGCTCCGGAAGGACAGAGCTGCCGTGGGGCGTGCGTCTGGGGGTGCTGAGCTATGGGGAGTGAGCGCTGGGTGCTCCGGGCGCCCGCCGACACCACTGGGACAACCCTGCCCACCGGGAGTCAGGTGGAGCCCCCTGCACCTCACCGCATGCTCACGGCCCCCCCTTCCCAGCCGCAGAGCCAGGCCTGGACTCTGCCTCCCGCTGTGGCCCGACGGGGAGCGAGGGCTCTGTGGGGCTCCCCAGCGGTGACTCC